TAGAGACGGGGTTTCACCATGTTGACCAGGATGGTCTCGATCTCTTGACCTCGTGATCCACCCGCCTCGGCCTCCCAAAGTGCTGGGATTACAGGCTTGAGCCACCGTGCCCGGCCTGGAGGTTTTTCAAACCAATGAAATCTTTTCCATTAATGACTTTATCAAAAATTTATTCTGCCTAAAATTTTCTTCCAATTTTAGCTGCCATTTAAGATAAGCTATCACACATTCAATTTAGTTCCTAAGCAAAATATGCTATAAAACATCCCAAATTTGAATTTAAAAAATTTGTTAGAGTTATAAAATACATTGATAAAGTTTTTTTATTTTTTGAGATGGAGTTTCATTCTGTTGCCCAGGCTGGAATGCAGTGGTGTGATCTCAGCTCACTGCAACATTTGCCTCCCGGTTTCAAGGGATTCTCCTGCCTCAGCCTCCCAAGTGGCTGGGATTACAGGCACCTGACACCATACCTGGCTAATTTTGTATTTTTAGTAGAGACGGGGTTTCACCATGTTGGCCAGGCTGGTCTCGAACTCCTGACCTCAAGTGATCCACCTGCCTCTGCCTCCCAAAGTGCTAGAATTACAGGCATGAGCCACTGTGCCCAGCCTGATAAAATACATTTAAAGATCTAATTAATAAAAAAGATCTGATTTGACAGTCCTACACAAAACAGAGCAGGTAAATATTCCTGTAAGTTAGTTCAATCTGAATCTAAGAGTGCTAAATATAATTGAACTATTGATTTTTACTGTACCTTCGATGATAAGCAGGAAATGTTATTTTATCCAACACACCTTATTAAGAATTCTGCTAGAAAACAGAGATGGTGCCTTCTCACGATGAGCATGAAAATTGAGAGCCATGAGAGCATCAGGTCCAACAGAAAAATAGTTGTTCATTGTGAATTCCTGTGAGAAAGGGTAAGAATAAGCAAGGTTAGGCTTAGGTTCCACCTAAGCCTGAGTCATAATTAAATGTCAATCTTAGTCTTGTATGGCTACTTTGTACTGTCTGGTGAAGTTACCAGAAATAAAGCTTCCGTTCAAGGCTGATAATTACGGATGTAAATTTCATCTTCCACTTCTGTTTTATATGCTACATCTCACACCTTACCATCTACAATGGCTCTACTTGATGCTTCCAGGCTTTTCACGCCTGTGTTCCCATTACATTTGCTTTTCACATTTATCACAACCTCCAAGCTCTCAGCTTCTATTAGTCCTAACCCAGGCTACTGGTCTCCCCTTAATTTATCTTACTTCCCAACGTGGCCTGGATTCCAAGGTCAATCATTTCAATGACTGTACTCAACACCATCCTTTGCTCCAACACCCCTTTACCTCTTCTCAGCCTTACTTGTTAATCTTCTCTAAATCAAACTGTTTTCTCTGTTCTACTTCCAGGTTGCTGGACGCTGGAGGTGAGAATCTTATAATTATGATCCTGCTACAAAGTTATTTCCAAGGATGGCTGGCCACAATCACTAATAGGGCACAGTAATCCTATAGATCTCTCATTTCCTCTGTTTCCTAGTGGTTACTTCAAAACTTGCAACTCTCCTCAAGTCCCTGATAACCAGCCTCCGCTTGCCTTTGTTATGTTCAGATGATCTTTATTCTTGCCTCACTGAAAAAAGTGAGATCAGGTATGAGTTCTCATGCTTTCTTTCTGCCATCTAAAAATTCTGACTTTTGCTCTTCATCCTTTTGATGTTAAGTCTAAATTTGGTCACCTGTTCTTTTCATCCTTTTCCCATTCATCTCTTATGGAACATTCACTAAATGTCTGTCTCTTCACTGCCAAAATATAATTTTCAATCCTAGTTGTTTACAAAAAAACCCTGTAAACATCTTAAGTAAAATATGTCAACGTACATTAATTTGTCTTTATTTTTTAACTGAATTTGTTCCCCCAGTTTCCTAGGGGTCCTTTATTCAGAAACTAAGAGTAGGGCAACATAAGCTTCATGAAGGCAAGGCCTTCATCACTGAAACTCCAGCACCTAGGACAGTGTCTGGCACCAGGTGGGCACAAAATACTTCTTGGAATGTATAGAGCAATGAAGTTCCCTCTTGTATTTGATTGTTTAAGATGTTATTCTCTAGAGTTAAGGAGACCCTACCTGATTGTAGCATATTTATTTTTAATGACATATCTTATTTAATGATAGCAAATGGCTGAGAATATGTCTTCTTATTTGAATCATCTAAGTGGTGTGAAACTTTGTCCATCTTCGGAGGAATGATTTCTGATAAACAAATATTTTTAAATACTCAGCTCTGCTTTACTACTGAGTAGTAATACATCCTGGTATGAATGAGAAATATATCATTTATTTTTTGCATATCCATCACCTCAAATATTATCATTTATTTGTGGTGAGAACATTTAAAATCCTCTCTTTTAGGCTGAGCACGGTGGTTCATGCTTGTAATCCCAGCACTTTGGGAGGCTGAGGTGGGATGATTGCTTGAGCCAAGGAGTATGAGATCAGCCTGGGCAACATAGGAAAATCCTATCTCTACTGAAAATAATGAAAAGAAAATTAGCGGGGTGTGGTGGCATATGCCTTTTGTCCCAGTTACTAGTGAGGCTAAGATTGGAGGATCACTTGAGCCCAAGAGGTATAGGCTGCAGTGAGCTGTGATCATGCCACTGAACTCTAGCTTGGTCAACGGAGTGAGACCCTGTCTCATATAAAAAAAATCTTCTCTTTTAGCAATTTGAAAATATACACTATTATTAACTATAGTCACCAAGCTGTACAATAGCAGAACTTATTCTTCCCATCTAACTAAAACTTTGTACCTATTAACCAACGTCTCCCCTTTATCCATCTACTCTCCTATCCCCTACGGCTTCTGGTAACCACAATTCTACTCTTGAGTTTGATTTTTTAGATTCCACATATAAGGGACATCATACAGTATGTGTCTCTCTGTGCCTGGCTTATTTATTTAAGATAATGTCCTCTAGGTTCAGCTACGTTGCTGAGAATGACAGATTTTCTTTTTTCTTAAAGTCTGACTAGTTTTCCATTGTGTATATATGGCATATTTAAAAAATCATTCATTCACTGATGGGCACTTAGGTTATTTCTGCATCTTGGCTATTGTACATAATGATGCAATGAACATGGGAACACGGACATCTGTCTGATATAATGATTTCAATTCCTTTGGGTATGTATCTATAAATAGGATTGCTGGAACATATGGTAATTCTAGTTTTAGATTTTTGAGGAACCTCCATATTGTTTCCCAAAACGGTTGTATTAATTTACAATACCAACAGTGTACAAGGATTCTCTCCTCTCCACATCCTTGCCAACACTTGCTATTACTGACCAATGAAATAGGATAGGAAACCCCAAAATAAATACACATATCTACGGCCAACTGATTTCTGACAAAGGTGCCAAGAACACACAATAGGGAAAGGACAGTCTCATCGATAAATGGTACTGGGAAAGCTGGATATCCACATGTAGAACAATGAAAATCAACCCTTATCTCACCCCTTATAAAGAATCAACTCAAAATGGATTAAAGACTTAAATGTACAACCTGAAACTACAAAAGTACTAAAATATAAGGAGAAAGCTTCATGACATTGGCCTGGGCAGTTATTTTTTTGATATGACCCCCAAAACACAGGCAATAAAAGTAAAAATAGACAAAATGGATTGCATCACACTAAAAAGATTCTACACAGCAAAGGCAAACAATTGAGTGAAGTGAAGAGGCAACCCACAGCTTACAAGAAAATATCTGTAAATCATACACTCCATAAGGAACCAATATCCAAAAGGTAGAAGGAACTCAAGCTACTCAATAACAACCAATAACCCTATTAAAAAATGGGCAAAGGATTTGAAGAGACATTTTTCAAAATACATAAAAATGGCCAACAGATACAGGTTCAGCATTCCTAAAATGAAAATCTGAAATCTGAAATGTTCCCAAATCTGAAACCTTTTGAGCACTGACATGACACTCAAAGGAAATGCTCATGGGAGCATTTTAGATTTCAGCTTTTCAGATTAGAAATGCTCAATGGCTACATATTCTGCAAATACTCCAAAATAAAAAATCAGAAATCTGAAATACTTCTGGTCCCAACCATTTTTTTGGATAAGGGATATTCAACCTGTATATGAAAAAATGCTGAACATTTCTAATCATCAGAGAATTGCAAATGAAAACCACAATGAGCTATCACTTCACACCTGTAAGATTGGCTACTATCAAAAAAAGACATCTTTAATGTTGGCATTTCAGGCACTATGATACCTGACAAATACTTTTGAGCACAGGAACAATTTTAAATGATCTCTTAATACTTTCTCGAATCTATTTTCTGGAGCACAGTGGTGCGAGGCTCACTGCAACCTCTGCCTCCCAGGTTCAAGCAATTTTCCTGCCTCAGCCTCTTGAGTAGCTGGGATTACATGTGCCCACCACCAAGCCAGGCTAATTTGTCTCAAACTCCTGACCTCAGGTGATCCACCCACCTCAGCCTCCCAAAGTTCTGTGATTACAGGCATGACCCACCATGCCTGGCCATTTCTTGATTTTTAAATTTTAAATACTACTTCTGTATTCTTTCTCTTTTTAGAGATGGCGTTTCATCTGCACTTTCTCACCCAGGCTGGAGTGCAGTGGCGTGCGTGATGATAGCTCACTGCAGCCTTGAACTCTTGGGTTCAAGCAATCTCCCTGCCTCAGCCTCCCAAGTTACTGGGACTACAGGCGTGTGCCTCCATGTCCAGTTCCTTTGCTTTCTGTTGTTATTTTCTGAGTGGTGTCTTCAACTGTACTTTCCAATCGAATACGGAATTTTAGTTTATAAGAGCCTTTTTCGGGGCGTGTGTTTCTGAATGTTCCTTTTATAGAACACTATTCTATTAATATTTTCATTTTTCTCTGAGAACATTAGTCCTGCTCCCTGAATTGCTGGACTGTGCTTCCTACAATTCTTTCTTTTAGTTTCTTTGGGGCTCTCTCACGGTAGAGGCTTTCCTTAAGTGCTTGTTTGTGCCTCCGATCCTTAACTGTATATGTTCATGTTTTAAGAATAAGGTATAGGGCCAGGTGCGGTGGCTCAAGCCTGTAATCCCAGCACTGTGGGAGGCCGAGGCGGGTGGATCACGAGGTCAAGAGATCGAGACCATCCTGGTCAACATGGTGAAACCCCGTCTCTACTAAAAATACAAAAAATTAGCTGGGCATGGTGGCGCGTGCCTGTAATCCCAGCTACTCAGGAGGCTGAGGCAGGAGAATTGCCTGAACCCAGGAGGCGGAGGTTGCGGTGAGCCGAGATCGCGCCATTGCACTCCAGCCTGGGTAACAAGAGCGAAACTCCGTCTCAAAAAAAAAAAAAAAAAAAAAAGAATAAGGTATAAAAGGCCAACTGTGAACTTTGCATCCAAAAGCAGGTCCTGCTAGGGGATAAGCTCCATTATAGAAATAAAGTGCAAAAATCTGGTCCTTTTGCTAAGGGACACCCAAATATCTTGGGCAAGTAGCTTCCCCAGAGAGAAATCCTCTCTGTTACTATTCTTGAAGTTGAGTGGATGAAAAGGGCCAGTAATCTCACTTTGCATTAAATCTATTTTTGGTATGTCTTTAGGTGGCTAGAGTCTCTATAGCTTAAACTTTCCAGAGTAAACCTCCAATCTACTACCTGAATTGAGGAGGGTAGTAAATGACTACATGAAGCTGGGGAAAGGGGAAGTGATCTAAGGGACAAACAGCGTCTTCGGCTTACTCTTTCTGTTTTCAGACACGCTTTATACTACTGCTCTCTAAGTGATGTGGTGACCTGAATTCCTAAGCCTTTGCTTGGTTCTGCTCAATAAACTGGTTTCTTCCTTAGTTTTCTGCAGTGTAGGTACTTTTCAGCTTTTTTCAATATGCTAACCTTTCTAGTTTTGGCTTCTTAAAGACTGCTGTGATCTCTTTGTCCTTAGGGTTTTGCCCTTTCTCAAAGATCTATACAAGATAGGTATCACCATTTTAGAGGGATTTTAGTGGCAAGGACACAGAGAAGCAGAGAAACATGCGTCAGTGTTCCCCAAATGCTCTTCTTTAAAGTCTGCATTATTTTGTTGTTTATCACCCACCTATTGCAGTTCTCTTTCTGTTTTCTCCTTATTTACTTACTACATTCTTTAGTCTCTTTTCATGGCCTCTCAATCTGTGTCATCTAAATATATCTATTTTCGAAATGTAGTTCCTGTCTGGGCACAGTGGCTCAAGCTTGTAATCCCAACATTTTGGAAGGCTGAGGTGGGAGGATTGCTTGGGCCTAGGAGTTCAATTTCAGCCCAGGCAATATAAGGAGACAAAACGAAAACAAAACTATCTGGACATGGTGGCACATGCTGGTGGTCCAGGCTACTTGGGAGGCTGAGGTGGGAGAACTGCTTGGGCCCAGAGGTCAAGGCTGCAGTGAGCTGTAATCATAACACCGCACTCCACCCTGAGTGACAGAGCGAGACCCTATCTCCAAAAAAAAAAAAAAAAAAAGTAGTTCTTGGCTCTCTTTTCCCCTCTCACTCCCCACATTCTCTCATGCATTCTCAGCATTTAAACAATTACCAGAAATAAAGCTTCAGTTCAAAGGCTGATAACTAGGGACTTGAATCTCACAACTTGGGTTACTCCCCTTGCCCCCACCCTGGTTTATTTTACTTCCTAACCCAGTCTGGATTCCTCAATTTGCATCTCTAGCTCGGTCTTTATTCCTGAGCAATAAGCCTAAACTTCCAACTTCTTGTTCAATACTTCAAAGACTTTTAGATTGATATGCCCAATATCTATCTTATTTTCTTCCCAGGCAAACCTGAAACTTGGTATTTTTCTTATAGTCATTTCCATACATCCAGTTATAAAAACTAGAAATTTAGTAGTAAAATGTATGTTCTCTCTTCTCTTTATACTAATCAGTTGTCAAGTACTCATGAATTCTACCTCTAAAATGTCCTCATCCTGATTCTCCCTAGTGCAGGCTTCTATGCTATTTTCACATTATCTCCAGAGTATCTTTTAAAAACATAGATCTGCTAGCTCTGTATTATTTGCTACTTGCTAACCACGCTTTGTACTCTTGCCTCTATTCCCTCTGCCTGGTAAGTCCTTTGCTTTTTTAAGGACCAACTCCCATATCACTTTCTCTGAATCTTCTCAGCCTGATCAGCTAGGGCAGAACTAACCACACCTGCACCCTGTTCTCTCCCATAACACATTTTCAGTCCAGTTTGTGAGGTAAGCTTAGAAGTTTCTGTTCTGCTCCACAGCCAGCTCCCTTGAGATAAGCACCAGGTCTCTGTATCTCACCACAGAGTGCTGAATCTTGTGCAGTGAAGCTGAAACTACTTCCAACTGAAGCACTAACAACATACCTTGGGTTTTCTTAAGTTGTAGTATCCTTTATTTGTTACTTGAACTTTCCATCTAAAAAACAGAAAAAAAAAAAACAAAAAACCCAGCACTTTTTACAATAAACCTTGTACTCTGGATATTTGGATAAATGAGGGTTTTCTATTAAAATACCATCTAAAAGAGTAACCACATGTATATGAGCATGCAAATTTAGGGATATGTACTCAGTATAACTTATTACTTTGACTCTTACATAATAAAACAAAACACCAGCATCTATGTGTAAATAACAACTAATAGAGTCTTTCACATTTAAATTACATGCCACTTTTCATCTGGACAAGTCTTCATTTTAAATCAAACAATTATGACTAAATCTCAATAAATCTACTTTTTGGAGAAATGTAACTTACCGATCTAGTTTAATTCCATCTGCTTCCATTACATTTCGTAAGACCTGTGCAACTGGAATTTCTCCAGCATAACCTGCACCCCAACCCAATGTATTGGATAGATCGTTGCCTGTTCCCAGAGGCAAGACTGCAACTTGCGGAATGTACTTTTCTTGTCCCTAGAATACAGAAGAGATGTTTTAGATTTTTCTCTGCAGACTATTTACTGGGTAATAACATTTTGTAAAATTTCATGAGATCAAGGCAGTAAAGATACACATATAACAACTGTAGGCTGTTTTGCTAAAGTTTGTGCTAAATGCTTAATCAAAACATCTCATTCTTAACTATTTGAAACTGGCAATGTCTAATATTCATCTGCATAATAAAAAATATAAAGCAAAAATATTCTATATTAGGTTGGGCATGGTAGTTCATGCCTGTAATCCCAGCACTTTGGGATGCCAAGGTGGGAGGACTGCTTGAGTCCAAGAATTTGAGAGCTACCCAGGCAACATAGTGAAACCCTGTCCCTACAAAAAAACAAAAATTATCCAGGTGTGGTAGTGCACACCTATAGTTCCAGCAACTTTATAGGCTGAGGTAGAAGGATTGCTTGAACCTGAGAGATGGCTATTGCAGTTAGCAGTATTTTTAACACTGAATTCCAGCTTATGTAACAGTGTGCGACAGTATCAAAAAAAAAAAAAAAAAAAAAAAAAAAATTAGAAAAAATAAAAAAAAAATATGTGTATGTGTACATGTATATGTATAGTATATTTATCTCAGAAGTCGTCCTGTAGTAGTTTTTAAAGACTAATACCTTAATCTTCATGTCATCAACTGCATCCAGGACCCAGCCCACAGTCCCATCCCCTCCACAAACAAGTACTCGAGCTGAATAATATGGAAGAAGAGTACAGAGTTGTAGGGCTTTGATAGGAGGAGTTTTAGTTACATCAAAAATCTAGAAACAAAAGAAAAAGTTATTTTCATCCAACATTTTCCGTTATCTCTCAAGATGATTTCCCTCTAGATGAGTAGAGATATAGTTAAATAACACTACTGGCTACTACGTATTTATCTTTAACAATAAGCCAGGCACTGTGCCAGACTCTTTCTATTCATTGTAGCTCATCCCCACACTGACTCTATAAAGCAAGAGTTAGCCTCAGTCTGTTGAGCTGGAAACTAAGCTGCAGGAAGGTTAAATCACTTGCCTGTGATTCTCCAGGTAATTAAGTGCTGAAATACAAATTCAGGCTGGGGGTGGTAGCTCACGCCTATAATCCTAGCACTTTGGGAGGCAAAGGTGAGTAGATCACTTGAGGTCAGGAGTTTGACTAGCCTGGCCAACATGGTGAAATCCTGTCTTTACTAAGAATACAAAAATAAGCTGGTGTGGTAGTGTGCCCCTGTAATCCCAGCTACTCAGGAGGCTGAGATAGAAGAATCACTTGAACCTGGGAGGCAGAAGTGGCAGTGAGCCAAGATCGTGCCACTGCACTCCAGCTTGACAGAACAAGACTCTGTCTCAAAAAATAAAAAAAATTAAATTTATAGTTTATCTATTATACCACATTACCTCCTTCCTGTTCACATAAACCACAATGTGCTAAGTTCACCTTTAACTAGTGTTTCATATCTTACACTGGCTTAAAAAAAAAAAAAATCACCAGTGCAAGTTAGTACAAATTTCTGGAAAAGCAATTTTGCAATACATAGAAAATGATGTAAAAATGCAAGTAGCTTTGATAATCCATAATTCTGCCAATGATCCTAGAAAAAATATTTCGGAAGACAAAAATGCCCAAAAATATGTATAAAAATATTTACTGTGGCATTACTTATAATACAATCATAGAGACAGTGTTACCCTTCAACAATAGGAGACTGGGTAAATAATCCATTCAATTATTCTAGTTGTTAAATATGTAATTATGAGAACTATGTAGAAACAAAGAAAAATATTTATACCATTAAAGTTAAAAAAAATCAGAATGCAAATTTGTATATAGATTATTGTTATAGTACTGTTAATATGCAAAGTAAATGCATAATTAATGGAAAGAACAAGAAAAAAGAAAACCAATGTATTTGTATGGGGAAATTGCAAATGATTTTTTCCTTTATTTTTTATAATTTTCTTAAACTGTATAATATTGAAAGAGTAAAAAATACAAATTGGAAGGACAAAGTTACTGCATTTCTAATTGTTACACAATGGGTTGTTTAATTTTTCTTTTTTTAAATTAGTGGGGTTTCTTGTAATTTTTTTTGTTTTGGGGTTAATTTTTCAAAGTTGCTAGTTGTACATTCAATCTTAACGATCCCTTTTATTTTTAAAACTGAGGTGTAATTTACATATAAGATTCACCCATTTGAAGTGAACAAGTCAATAATTTTTAATAAGTTCACTGAGTTGCACAACTACCACTATCATCCGGTTTAGAACATTTCTGTTGCTTCAATAAGATCCCTCAATGTCCATTTGCAGTCACTCCCCATTTCCAGCCCTAGCCTCAGGCAACCAGTAATCTATTCTCTACCTCTACAGATTTGCCTTTTCTAGACAGATCACATAAACAGAATCATACAATATAAAGTCCCTTGTATCTGTCTTCTTTCACTTACTATGTTTTTGAGGTTCATTTATTGTAATATGTATGTATCAACAGCTTGTTCCTTTTTGTCATTTAATGGTATTCCATTGTATCGATACCATCACATTTTGTTTAACAACTCACCAGCTGATGGACAGCTGGGCTGTTTATGCTTTCTGGCTACCATGAATAATTGCTGCTTTGAATATTTTCATGCAAGTCTTTGTGAGAAATATGTTTCACTTCCCTTGGGTAGATTCCTAGTGGAGGAATTGCTAGGAGATGTAATAAATTTATGTTTAACTTTTTAATAAACTGCCAAGATGTCTCCCAAAGAGGTTGTACCATGTTATATTCCCACCACAGGAATTCCTGTTTCTCTACATATTTAATAGCTGATCTTTTTGTAATTATTATTCTTTCCTATGATCAGGTGATTAGTGACTTAAAGCATTAATAACCATTGCATTTTAGGGAAAATGAAAACATTAATAAAAAAAGGAAGTTTTCTTCTTTAGTTACCTGGACTGGATTCAACAAGATCCTAAATTCTCCCAACAGTCCTTCTCCCATGTTAGTTCCACTACGAGAGTTGGCCAGAATTATTAATGGGGTCCACTGCTTTCCAAGCTTAGAGGCTAGCTAAAAAAAAAAATGCCATGAGGGAAAAGGGTTTAGTATCTCAGAGATGACAAGCACATTTTCCATGCCTTGATTACAATGGTGCTATAATTTGCTGAAATGAAAACAACTATACCAGTTCTTTCAATTCAATATAAAAGTCAAAGAATTCTACGAATGGAAGGGAACCCCAGCAATTAACTAATTTAACCTCTCATTCAATGTTTAATTCTCTTCTACATTATTCTAGATAAGTCATCCAGCATATGCTCAGAAACTCACATAAGGAGCTTACTAAAAATGCAGCCCATTACACTGCTACATCTAATTATTAGAAAGTTTGGACTTAAGCTGAGTTGAAAATATGTCCTTCCATAACTTTCAGCCATTCATAGAATAGACACTGATTTTCTCTGATCTTTTACCTTGATTTTCCTTTATTGGATGTATTCTAGCATATTTTGCAAGCTTTTCCTTTTTTGAGATGGAGTTTCGCTCTTGTTGCCCAGGCTGGAGTGTGATGGCATGATCTCGGGTCAATGCAATCTCCACCTCCTGGGTTCAAGCGAGTCTCCTGCCTCAGCCCCCCGAGTAGCTGGGATTACAGGCATATGCCACTGTGCCGGCCTTTTTATTTCTTTTTTTAAAATGGGGTATTCAGATGAAAAAAATCTGGATTTCTAATAGCTTAAAGTCAAATGAAATTAATGTTTTTCATAATGTAACCATTTCTTCTTCCCTTCTCCTTGTAGATGTAGCCATTACTGAAGTTATTCTGTGGTTTTACTTAGTGATTCTCCTCTCTTGTGATCTCGGATTAAACTCAGATAAATAAGAGACTTGTACATTTTAAAAAAGTGTCGGCTGGACGTGGTGGCTCATGCCTGTAATCCCAACACTTTGGGAGGCCAAGGTGGGAGGATCATGAGGTCAGGAGTTCAAGACCTGCTTGCCCAACATGGAGAAGCCCCATCTCTATTAAAAATACAAAAATTATCTGGGCATGGTGGCACATGCCTATAATCCCAGTTACTTTGGAGGCTAAGGCAGGAGAATTGCTTGAACTGGTACCTGGGAGGCAGAGGCTGTAGAAAGCTAAGATCATGCCACTGCACTCCAGCCTGGGCTAAAGAATGAGAGTCTGTCTAAAAAAAAAGAGTTGGGCCGGGCGCAGTGGGTCATGTCTGTAATCTGTAATCCCAGTACTTTGGGAGGCCAAGGCAGGTGGATCACTTGGGGTCAGAAGTTCGAGACCAGCCTGGCCAACATGGTGAAACCCCGTCTTTACTAAAAATACAAACATTAGCAGGGTGTGGTGGTGCATGCCTGTAACCCCAGCTACTCTGGAGGCTAAGGCAGGAGAATTGCTTGCACCCAGGAGGCGCAAGTTGCAGTGACCCGAGACAGCACCACTGCACTCCAGCATGTGCGACAAGAGCAAAACTCTGTCTCAAAAAAAAAAAGTGTCAAAACAATATTAATGTTTGAAAATTTAAAAATGTCCCTTTTCTTGCAGGAATACTGACAAAGGTGACATTTAAGATATAAAATCTTAATTTGAAAAAGGTACAATTTGAAAATAAAATAGTTCAATTATTTTGGTATATCCAATTAGAAAATAAATCTGTAAATTTAAGACTGAGAGATACAGTAATAGTTACATCAACTATAAACGGTTGTCAACAAGTTTAATGTTCACCATTATTTGTGGGAACATTTAATGTGCAAAGTAAACTTTAGGAACCCTGTATAAAGTTCCAAATAGAAAAGTATTTTTGGAATAAGGTGTGAGGACAATCTATTTTCTTTTTACTGACAATAATCATGAATCCCAAACCTGGCTGTTCATCAGAATCACTTGAGGACCTTAGGAAAAAAAAAAAAAGATGAATTCCTGGACCTACCCTAGACCTACTAAATCAAATATGGCAATGAAAGTACTACTCAGAAGTCTGTATTTTTAAAAAGCTCCCTAAATTATTCAGATGCAGGCAATGATATAGAAACCACTAATATAACATTTCCAATTTCCTTTTAGACATGAAAGAACTCAAAAGCCCAAATTTTTGACCCATCTCTAGGAGCTAGGTAGGGTTTTATGGCTTACCATAATGGCATTTTATTTCCCTCCTTGGTCTTGATCTGCTATTTCAGTTTATTTTATTCCTGGCACCGATTCTTCTTACATAGTCTTAACCATCTCAAACAATGACTTAAGCAGCTTTTAAAAAATCAATCACATAAGAAAAATAAATTATACTTACCACTTCATAATCTGTTTTTTTGTCTTTACGCATCTGATTAATGGAGGTTAAATAACTTGGTGGAATGATTAGGTTTTTGAATTCTCCAAAATCACACTTTTCATTCTTTAAGCTATGTTTCATGCACTCATCATGTACTGTCTTCTGGCACCAAATGCACCTGAGGGAAAGAAGAAACAAGCATTAATTAATTTTAAACCATAATCTCATTGATAACCCACAAAACAATCATTTTTGCTAAAAAATAAAACAGTAATTTTATCACTACTTACCATAAAATTTGGCAAATAAAAGATATATAACTCTATGTGCACAGTGAAATGGAGCGATAAGGTTTTTTTCTTTTTTTTTTTCTTTTTATGCCCCAGGGTATACTAGTCAAGCTTTCGGAGCAATAAGGTTTGAACATATTTGGCAGTTTAATCTAACCGTATTTCCTTTTTTGTTTTTTTGAGACAGGTTCTCACTGTCACCCAGACTGGAGTGCAATGGTGTGATCTCAGCTCACTGCAACCTCCACTTCCTAGGCTCAAGTGATTCTCCTGCCTCAACTCCCGAGTAGCTGGGATTACAGGTATGCGCCACTACTGCCCAGCTAATTTTTGTATTCTTAGTAGAGATGGGGTTTCATTATGTTGGCCAGGCTGGTCTTATATTCCAGACTTCAAATGAGCCACCCATCTCGGCCTCCCAAAGTGCTGGGATTGCAGGTGTGAGGCACTGTGACCAGCCTGACAGCATTTCTTAAAGTGTAGCTTGGGGCCCCCGAGATTCATTCAGACCCCCAAGATCTGTGAGGTTAAAATTTTAATACTACTACTAAAGAGTTATTTCACCCTCATCCTCTCAAAAATGTACAGTGGAGTTTTCCCGAAGCTTTATGACATGTGCTATGACAACAGAAGCAAATATGATAATCTAGCTGGATTATAAGTCAAAGAAACGTGCAAAGAATTAAAACAATGTAACTCTCCTCACTAAATTTTCATAAAAATAATTTGTTATTATTATTTTAAAATATTTTAAAAATTTATCAGTTTTAATTTATGACATGGTAAATATCAATAGATATAACCTACAGAAACAAAAGCTGATCTAAAACAATAACTTTATATATATTTGTGCTCTAGCTGAAATGTAGGTTCATAAGGCCTAAAGTCTTTGCTTTTATTAAATGTCCCACTGACATGGGCCCTTGAAGAGTTCCTCAGGGTCCAGCCTGAAAATCTCTTAACTTGTAAATATAAGTACAACAGTGTGTTTTGTCAGTTAACATGAAAATAATACACGTTTTCTTTTGAAATAGACATTAAGAACATTTTCATTTGGATTTGCCTCTATGTTTGGACCCAATTCTTAAAACAAGCTGAGAGCAGACCTAGTAAAGGTCCTGGGTTTCTATTATTAATCTGCTAAGTATTTAATCCACTCTCGGATAAGACAGATATGACTGGACAGATAAAGCAGGCCACCAGAAAAGAGTGGTTATAATTAAATAAATAGTAATTAAAAAAAAGAGGATAATCATTTTTTTCACCCCGAGGTCCTCTCTTGGCCTTCTATTTTAAGCTGTCTCTCCCTTTTGGATGTTCAGATTTGTCAAGTACTTAGTGCTGTTTACTTGAGTACTATTTACTGCTAAAAGAAAGAGTTCTCTGCATAAACTGTTACAGAGAAAACAAAATTTGTATAATCACATTTGTTGATTGCAAACTAAACTTGAGTAAGTATAATACACTGGTTATGTGGCTGAGGTATCATATCTCTACTTACTGGTCTACCATTAATTTTAAAATCATATATTACCATCAAAAGCAATCAGAAAGGATACCCACTGAATTATTTCATAATGGTTTCCTCCAGAAAGAAAAATAGGACTGAGGAATGGGAAGGATATTAACCTTTCAGCCTACATATTTTTTTGTATGTATTCCTTGACAGCCTAAAAACCAGAATATATTCATGAACTACTTGTATAAATTTTAAAAATTGTTTTAAATGATACTAGCTTATGCTTGAGATACCTGAGCAAACAGAGTGAGACTGTCTCAAACAAAACAAAACAAACAAACAAATCCCTGCATTAATCTGCCCAGAATTAATCTGGTATATTATGAAGAATTAACCTTCTTTCCTCCCCCAAAGAGTACATGTCCTAGCAAAATTCACAAATTAATATTTTCTATCCCCAACAAATTTGTGACAGAACATTTTCCATTTACTAAATTCTTTTTTTTTTTTTTGAGACAGAGTTTCGCTCTTGTTACCCAGGCTGGAGTGCAATGGCGCGATCTCGGCTCACCTCTGCCTCCTGGGTTCAGGCAATTCTCCTGCCTCAGCCTCCTGAGTAGCTGGGATTATAGGCACGCACCACCATGCCCAGCTAATTTTTTGTATTTTTAGTAGAGACGGGGTTTCACCATGTTGACCAGGATGGTCTCGATCTCTTAACCTTGTGATCCACCCGCCTCGGCCTCCCAAAGTGCTGGGATTACAGGCGTGAGCCACCGCGCCCGGCTAAATTCTTATAAATTTCAGAAAAGATTTTTTTTTTTTTGAGACAAGAGTTTTGCTCTTGTTGCCTAGGCTGGAGTGCAATGACATGATCTCCTCTCACCACAACCTCTGCCTCCCAGGTTCAAGTGATTCTCCTGCCTCAGCCTCCTGAGTAGCTGGGATTACAGGCATGTGCCACCACGCCTGGCTAATTTTGTATTTTTAGTAGAGATGGGTTTTTCCATGTTGGTCAGGCTAGTCTCGAACTCCTGACCTCAGGTTATCTGTCTGTTTCTGCCTCCCAAAGTGCTGGGATTACAGGTGTGAGCCACCACACTTGGCCCAGAAAAGACTATTTTAACCAAGATAATAGATATTATGAGCCTTTGCTCTACAAAGGTAAAGCTAAAATGCTTACTAGGGCCACCAGGTATGGTGGCTTATGCCTGTAATCCCAGAATTTTGGGAGGCCAAGACAGGATGATCCCTTGAGCCCAGGAGTTTTGAGACCAGCCTGGGCAACATGATGATACTACCATCTCTACAAAAAAGAAAAAAACTGGCAGGCATGGTGGTGCATGTCTGTAGTCCCAGCTACTCGGAAGGCTGAGGTGAAAGAATTGCTTGAACCTGGGAGGCTGACAATGCAGTGAGCCATAGTCATGCCACTGCCTTCCAGCCTGGGCAGTATAGAGCAAGACCTTCTCTGAATAAAATAAAATAAAATAAAATGCTTATTAATTACTCACCATCACATTCTTCTTTAGAAATACCATATTCGAACCTGAAGCCTAGTCTCTTTACATATTTTTTTTTCAAGATGGAGTCTCGCTCTGCTGCCCAGGTTGGAGTGCAATGGTATGATCTCGGCTCACTGCAATCTCCGCCCCCGGGGTCAAATCATTCTCTTGCCTCAGCCTCCTGAGTAGCTGGGATTACAGGTGCCTGCCACCATACCCTGCTAAGTTTTGTATTTTCAGTAGAGACAGGGTTTCACCAGGTTGGCCAGGCTGGTCTCGAACTCCTGGCCTCATGATCTGCCTGCCTTGGCCTCCCAGTGCTGGGGTTACAGGCGTGAGCCATCATGCCCAGCCACATACGTTGTCAGCATTTAACAACCTAGATTTCAAACTCACCGGGAAGATAAGACATTTCTAAAATGTCTTGATATTTCAGCTTTAGCATCATGTCACTGGGTAATTGCTTATGATCTTTCTATTCTGAAAAATTTCAAACTTTCAGAGAAGTCAAAAGGATAGCAAAACGAATACTCTAAGCCCACCTTCATGCTGATTCTTAATTAACATCTCCCACTCTCTTTCAATATAAACTCATATATTACTGAATCATTTGAAAGTAAACTGCAGACAGCATGAGATCCCACCCTTCAATATTTCAGCAAATATATTCTAAAAGCAATAATAGTTTCCTTGCTTTTTAAAATATTTTACTCAAAAAATATTTTTTACAGGTATGCCTACCACGTACATTCTTCTGTTAACATCTTCCTGTAATTGCTTTGTAACGTTTCTATCCATCTTATTTTTAATACATTTTCAAGTAAACTGAAGATATTAGAATACTTCCTAAATACATCAGCAAATAGGCTTATCACTATCTAGAATTTGTGATTTATGTTTTTTCCTTTTGAGTAAAATTTACATACAATGAAATGTATAAATATATGTACTTCCTGAGTTTTGATAAATGAACATATGTAACTAAAACCCTTATTAAGACATAGAATATTACTCTAGAAAGTTCCTTCATATGAAAATATGGAATGCTTCACGAATTTATATGCCGTTCTTATGCAGGAGTATGACTGCTTTATTTTTTTTTAAAAAAAAAGGTTTAACAAGGCTCATTTTCTGTAAAAAATTACCTGTTCACAATAGCTCTCTTCTTTAGTATGCTGGAGACAGCTAATTATACACAAAGTTGAGATGGTCATTTATGAGAGTCACACTAGAACAGGGTTCTGCAAACTGCAAATATGCCTGCCATCTGATTTTGTGAATGAAGTTTTACTGGAACACAGGTAAACCCACTCATTTATGTATTGTCCATGGCTGGTTTTGTACTGCAACTGTGGCAGAGTTAAGTAATTATGACAGACAAAATGATTGGGAAAGCCTAAAATTCTTTTTTTTTTTTTTTTTTTTTTTTGAGACAGAGTTTCACTCATGTTACCCAGGCTGGAGTGCAATGGCGCGATCTCGGCTCACTGCAACCTCCGCCTCCTGGGTTCAGGCAATTCTCCTGCCTCAGCCTCCTGAGTAGCTGGGATTACACCACCATGCCCAGCTAATTTTTTTTGTATTTTTAGTAGAGACGGGGTTTCACCATGTTGACCAGGATGGTCTCGATCTCTTGACCTCGTGATCCACCCGCCTCGGCGTCCCAAAGTGCTGGGATTACAGGCTTGAGCCACCGTGCCCGGCCAATTCTTTTGGCTCTTTATAGTAAGTTTGCCCGCCTTTGCTCTAGAAGATGATTTGGTATCTTCCTCTGTTTCAGATAATTAATGAAATAAATAAACACATACCAACAGAATATAGAAACAGAATTCATGATCAAAGCTGAGACTAATTACACTGAGGCCCATGTAACTGCCTTCTGAGAGTCAGCAGCTTTGTTTTACTAAGCACAGTATTTGCGTGTCGGGCGTGGGGTGGATGTAATGAATGGAAAGTCCTATGACTTAAAAAGCACTTTAAGTTCTTTCTCTCTTAATGAGATAGAACACTACAAGAAACAGAGGTTCATTTGATAAATATAATGATGTAAAAATATAACCTAATTCCTATTTTAGTCAGAAGAGAGGTCAGAAAAAGAAAAGGAAGAACAGGGAAATAAGATAGTACGTGCAGAAATACGTTGTAGTGGTTGAGGGGTAGAAACAGGAACACACAAAAAGAAAAAATCCACAGGCAAAGTAGACTCTAACATAGTGTCTAGTACAAAAATAGATGCTCAGTAAGTATAATGACTGAATGAGTAAAAATTAAAGGGCCTTTCTCACTTATTCTGCAGGCTTTAAATTCAGTTATCATCTCTCATTAGTGTCCTCTGAAATGCTAACTTGTCTGCAGAGTTCACTCACTTCCCTAGGAATGTGATGCAGACATGGAAGAAGCCCTCCTCAAAGACAGATATAATCCAGAGAAGGACTGTCTGGTCTATACTTAAAGGTTTTAAGTAGCTATTTATTTTGTTTTTCCTTCCAAAATATCTCATTTCTACAGAAGATCACAGGAGACTGTAACCCTGTATAAAATTATTTGCCAACATAAATCAGTTCAGAACATTGTAGAATATGTACAACTTCAGGACACTGTGCTCTCTCTTCTCTTGGGAATAATAAACATCTAAATTATACACAGGCAATTTCTATTACAGGGTAAAGGAAAAGAAGATCTATTATCATAAACATTCAGGGTGCTCAATGGGAGGACACAAAATTAAGGACAAAGGTGCATGTTTTTAAAGACACATAAATATAGCAGGGGTTTTCCATCTTTAGAAGGACCTGTAGGGCCTGTTCAAGAATGCCCAAGTTTCCGATTTAGTAGGTTTGGGGTGTGGCTAGGGTTGCCAGAAAAAAAAAAAAAAAAAAGGCAATGCCTAGTTAAATTTGAATTTCAGAGAAACAACAAATACTGCAATATTTTATTTTTATTTGCTAAATCTGGCAACCCTAGAGTTAGCATTTTTAGCAGATTTTGAAGAGATGCTGATGCTGCTGGTCTAGGGACCTTACTTAGAGAACCTCTGGGATATAGGATATTATGTTATCACCAAGAAGGAAAAACTAGGGGATGAGGGAAGGTGAGTAGATCAGGCAAGAGTTCTGGGGGAAAGGATAAGGACAAGGGGTGAGTCTTTGAAGATGCCTAGAAGCTAGCTAGAATATTAAGAGAGGAAAGCTTTGAGCAAAAGGGCAGAAATGTCAGAAAATGCCTGACATTTAAAGGAAATCACAAGAAGCTTGGTGTTGCTGGTGCATAAAGCTTCATGCAGGTGGTGTTAGGTTAAGACTAGAAGGGCAGAGGCCAGAGAGTACTAGGACCTTAGGTACCCTGTTAATAAGCACTGAGGGAATTTATACTGTAAAACAATCAGCTTACATGATGGGGAGCAATTTAAAGAGTTTTAAGCAGAGCAGGGACTTAATCAGATTTGCATTTTTAGAAAGATCATTTGGGTGGAGGATCAGAAGCACTATGATTATGTGTTCAGGAGTATCTGAAATACAGTAATTTATGGAAACCATTTTAAATCTAAGTCTGCACAGACACAGAGACTGCTGGAGGCTGGCTACACCAGAGACGGGAAGGAAACGGAACAATACTCAATTCATTATGAAATTTATTTAAAGTCCCTGTTAACTTGGCTCTCACTGATGCCAGAAGGACAGCATTTAATTTTTAAAGATGCCAAATAAAAATGCATGGTTACAAAACTTTGTAGTTGTCTAGAATATATTATTTTGAACATTTATTCTTAAGCCTCTTTGATAATGTGTAAAATGATTTAAAATAAGACTTAAAAACAGGTATTGACATAATATAGCACTCATGCTAACGAGTTTCTGCCAAAAAAGTTAAAGACAATTAAAAAGCAGCTTCCTATTTACTGCCTATTTCAGCTTGTAAGCATGTTTATGGGCCCTTCTGCTTGTCAGAAAAGTCATTACAATGATGTCCTCACTTAAGGCTCAAAGGAAGCTAGGTGTTAGTCTGGAGCTGGAAATCCTGGAGGCCCATCATATCTTACCAGAGTAGACCTAACGAGCTTTAATTTTCTCAACTGTGAGAACAATAAATAATTAAAAAAAAAAAGAAAAAAAAATTTTCTCAACTGTGAACTGAGTTGAACTGATCATTTGCAAAGCAGCATTCTCCTTTACCAATCTCCAAAATCAGCAAAGGACATCGTCACCTATTTTCAGACAATATTTAAGGACAAAAATGTGTTGTCCAGTATGTATATGAAAGACATTAAAATATTGTTGGCTTAATCAAGGTCACTTATCTAAGATTCTACATGTCCTGAAAGACCAAGCATCAAAAGGAATATTCCTTTCAGTGTTCTTTTTGAGTCTATTTCACTATGGTAGCAACAGCTATATTGGCCAAAGATATAAAAGTGCTGCCTTGGAATGACACTTGTTTTCACTGTACATTCATAGTACAAAACCTGTGACACATCAGTTTCGTGGCTGAAGGGAAAAGTTAATTTGTGCGTATTTCCTTTTTCCTTATTTAAAATAAGATAATCGATAGGAACAAAAGCTAAAATATACCGTGGTCACGAAGCAGGTGCCACTTAGAAGCCTCTGCAATGACGTTAGGAGCCAAGTTTTATTACCCACAAGGGTAGGCTGGCTGAGGAGTGGAGGCTGGACGCATCATCTCAGCAAATGACCACTGCAAAGCTGCCACGGTTGCAAAAACCCAGGGACGTTTATTTATTAGCTTGTTTCCTTGAAATGAGTTTAAGCCATCTGCAGAGATTAAAGCAGGCCTCTACACCACTCTATGAAATCCTGACTCCCATGGCGCATTCTGGGACAGTGAGTGTCCACGAAGGCCCTACCTGTAATCGCAGAGCTTGGGTTGGCTGCCACACTGCTGCTTGCAAACCATACAGTAACTGCACAGGGGCACGTTGCCCCGGATCCAGTGGTGGGGCATGGCGTCCAGGACCTTGCTGTCATTCTTGAGCATAATCTCCTTGCACTGGAAGCGCTTGTCGGCCTTCTTGAGGCAGTCCTCATCCACACGGAGCCCGCAGCAGTCGCAGAAGGCGCCCCGCAGAATGTGCTGCGCGCACACGCAGCAGTAGGTGGGCTGGCTGAACAGATCCGTGTCGCGCCACCCGTGCTTGCTCTTGCGGAAGATGTCCCTGCGGTGCAGCTGCCGGCGCGACCGCTGGAGGCTACACCAGAAGGTGATGAACACCGGCAGCAGGACCGAGCACAGCGTCCATAGGATCAGGTGCCCGTCCGCAAACAGGCCCTCGGAGGGCGGGCCCGGCGCCGGCCGCCTCTCCGCTTCCATCTTCTCCAAGGACGGTGCCTAAAGAGGAAAGAAATAGGCACCTGCACCCCGTGCTCCCCATCCCTTCCCCGCCCCCTTCCTGCCTTTCTGGGGCCAACGAGGGCGCCCTCAGTCCAGGTGGCTCCGCTCTCCCCAGGACGGGCCAGCGCTTCGTCCCCCGGTCGCCCGGTACCTGCCGCGCCAAGAAGGCGACGTCCAGCCGTCACGCTCCAGTCCCCACTCCCCAACCCGCCCCAAGTCGGGAGCGCGTCCGGGAGCCCAGGACTGCTGCTGCTGCTGCTGCCGCCTCAACTCGCCGCCCGTCAGACCCACGGAAGGGCGCAAAACACAGGGGCAAGCTGCTCTCCACCGAAAAGCCCGGCGTTCAGGCCACGCGACGCCAGTGGGCGCACGTAACCGTTGGCCCAGGCCTAGCCCAGCCGCTCCCGGCCCGGGGCGCGGTCTTTTCCCGGGCCGTGCCCGCCCCCCGGCGCCCTTGCCCCTCTCGGGAGGTCTCCGCAGACCTGCACCGCGCCCGTCCTCGAGCCCCTACCTCGCGCGGGCTGAGGCGCGGCTCCCGGCCAGGCCTCAGCAGCCCTCGCGCAGGAGGAGCGCGACGCTGGGCCGCGGGCCGCGATGAAGCCGGGCGGGGTGAACGCTTGAGGCTTCAGCCGCACGCACGCCGATGCGGCGCGCGGGGTTAGGAGCTGGAGGCGGGGCCTGCGGCGGCGAGTCCAGTGGTTGGGCGGAGCCAGAGCTGACGGGCGGGGCGGAGGTGTGAGGTGGGAGGGGAGACAGACAGCCCTGAGGGGGCGGGGCCGTGGAGAAAGCTGGAGACAGATGAAAGGGCCGGGGCACAGTGGATGGGGGCGGGGCCTGGAGGAAGGGGGCGGAGTAACAGTGGGGCGTTAGAGAGGATGGAGGGTTGAACGCCAAAAATTCCTTATCATAGAAAATTCTGGGGCGCCGACGGCGGGGAGGGCCGCGAGCATCTTCCCGGCCGCACCTGAGCCTCGCGGGATCCAGGGGCCGCGCCCACGCCCTTCGCCCGGCGCTGACACGAGTGCTCCGGGCTTAAACCGAACCTCTGGCCTAGACCGCGGCCGCCTAAGCCGACGCCGTCTGGAAAGCACAGGAGGTGGCGGCCTGCGCGGCGCTGCCCGCCATGGCCGCGGCAATCTTAAGTAGATGCGGCGGCCGCAGTAGCTCAGACCCGAGCGCTTCTCAGCCGCGGGCAGGCGGGCTGGCGCGGAGGCCGACGGGGAGCGGGGCCGCAGCCCGCTGGTCGCCGCTGACCCGGAGCCCTGCCGCGGTTTCCGCCCCCTGCCGTGGCGGGCAGTCCTCCCCTCCACGCCCCCGCCGCCCGCGCCCGCGCCCGCGCCCGCCAGCGCCCGGAGCGAGAAAGGGGAGCAGCGGGAGCCGGAGACCGCCGGAGATGGGAGCACGCCTCGTGCTGCTGTTGTCCCGCCCCAGGCTCCGGAGGAAGGCCCGCTCCCGGACTTCGCCGCGACTACGCGGGCTGCAGCCTGCAACATGTTAGCGACCCGGAGAACGCGGACGGGTAAGCACCACCGTTCATCAACCCCGAAGAAACACGGAGTCCAGAGGGCGCAGGCACCACCCCAGCACGCACAGCTCCACCCAGCTCCACTCCGCGGCTTCCTTTCTACCACATACGTAGGAAGAGGAGCCAGGGACCACTTGATCCTTGAAGACTTCCTCCAGCAGAAAGGATGGAAAGAAAACCCACATGAAAGCAAGGGACCAAAGGAACCGAAAAGAAATGCATAGATTATAGGAAAACTGCAAAGAAATACCTGATAATATCTTCCAAAGGATTAGGGAAGAGGGTCCAGGGTTCAAGTCCCTCTTCGGGCGTGTCCTGTGGTGTTTGGCACCTGCTTCTAAGGCTATGTTTGAAAGGATTAGGGAAGACATAACATTCATTAAGAATACACGTATAGATAGATGTATATATGTGTGTGTGTATGTATATGTTGTTACGTGTGCATATATATGCATATGTATGTGGGCATATGGGTATTAACTGTAGAAGGTAAAGCTAGACACTAGTAAAAGTGGTAAGAGCAGATTTTAATCAATAATATACTATTGGAATAGGGAAGAAGGTACTTCGTGAACGGAATTGAACTTTGTGCAGAAGTGATTGGGTGTTTCAGAGGGTGAGAGTGGCAGTGTGGAAGGGATGAGCAGTCACTCAGTAGCCAGGAAAGTGAAAACTTGTGAAAGTTGGGTCAGTGTAAGTAAGGTTAGGCTACCGTGCCTGTTAGGTGGCTGTTATGGGAGTTAGGTTCCTATCCTCCCACAGGAACTGAGAGATAGGCCCTGTGCTTCCTGGTGATTGCATGTTGTAGGAATGACTTTCAGGTTCTTGAGAAGGACACGGCTGGTGTGTAGGAGACATTACATCCCAAAGAGACAGGAAGGTTTCACAATTGTTTAGTTTGTTGTTGTTAACTATGAGAAAGGGACATCAGGGGCTGCTTGTAAGGTATTGCCGATAGCCAGCAGTGAGTTCTTTTGGCAGCTTTCCCAGGCAGACACTTTAGGGGGTGTGGGGTCATCCTACAGATGCAGCTTTGAGTTGTTAGAAACGATGTGTTTAAGTCTTTTAATATAGGGGGAAGGATGGACTCGACCCTTTTTGCTGTAATCTGCAGATTTCGTAGGCCAAGGTGGAGGCCTAGTTGAGAAGGGGGCTGAGGGAAGCCTGTCTAAAGCTTGGTCAAGGAGGGGATCTTCATCAGTCTGTATGTATATACATGGCACGTGGACATGCATACATTCATGAATGGTGGAGGCTGTGTTATGAGGATTCTGCACAACTCAAGTGTCCTAATGGGAACAGACTTGGGGAGCTCACTCTTGAGACTTTTTGTGGTATTGTGGATACTGGGAGACCCGAGGAGGGTTCTGGCCACTAGCAGACTCATTGCATTCATCCTTTGGAATCTGCCCAGGCCTTGGACTTACTCTGTATAATAGTGACTTCACTCCCCACTGATCCTCCATGTTCCTTGCTGATGCTGTGATTGTTCCTCCAAGTCCTCCAGCATCCCTGCTGATGCTGTGATTGTGCAACTGAGCACTTGGTATTTCTTTTCTGGTGTCAAAAGTTCCTGGTCCCAAGTCTCCTCCCATTCATTCCAGTTTATCCAGATGCCCCTCCTTTGCCATCCCTCTCTGTTCCAGCAAAGTGTACCACCCCTCAGGGAGATCCTCACAGTGGACTCCTCCTCCTCATCCTGACTTCCCTTTTTTCTGGCACCCGCAGGACTCAGTGAGTCTCTTGGTCTCTGGTTGCAGCACAGGTCCTGGACTCGAGCCCATCTCTCCGAGCCCATCTCTCCATCCCCGCCTCCACTACTTGTCAGGTCCAGCTGTCACCATTTCTCACTCTTGAATCACTGTCATAGCCTCCCACCTGGTCTCCCTGTTTTACCCTGTTTATTGCAGGCTGCCTCTGGACTTTTATATTGAGACTGTTAACTGTGGTGAGAACCCTTCCATCCTCAGACCCCTGGTACCCTTTACTCACTTCCCACTGTGGCCATCGTTCACTGAATTCAGGCCACTCTGGCCTCTGTATGGTCCTCACGCCTCCAGACTCATGCACCCTTCAGGCCTATTGCCAGTTCCACTCCCTCTTCCTACAGAGTTCTTCCCTATGTCCTCACTGCTCAGGTGCTCCCTCCCCACAGAGGCCCTGCTGACCAACCCTGCCAAGACTGTCCCCACTCTCACATGCATTACTCCCGCCCCGTCCCTCTTTGTTTTTCTCCATAAAACTAGCATCTCCTCACATGCCATGTCTTCTACTTACATTGTTTAGTGTCTGCCTTTCCTCCCCAAAATGAGAGCAATATGAAGACAGGGACATTTGCTGTCTCCAACCAAAGCACTTTTTTTTTTTTTTTTTTTTTT